CCTGTTGCATGGAATACTGTTTTCCATCCTTTGACTTTTAATCTATGAGTTTCATTTTGGGCAAATGTGTCTCTTGTATACAACATATTGTGGGATCATGTTTCTCAACTCATTCTGTCAGCTTATTTCTTTTGATAGGTGAATTGAGGCCATTTACATTTATGGATATAACTGATATGTACTGGCTCGATTTTGCCATGTAATGTTCCAGTTGTTTGCTTTCTGCTTTTCCTCCTTGTTTAATTGCTTGTCCTACTTGGTGGTTTCTTTCTGCTGTTGTTCTGAGGATTGTGGTCACTTTTATCTCTATCTAATATGTCTTTCAATACTCTTTCTGGGTTGGCTTGGTGGACATGAATTTCTTCAGCTATTCTTTGTCATGGAAGTATCTTATTTCCCCATTAAATTTGAATGAAGGTCTTTCTGGGTATATCAATCTGCATTGAAAGTTGTTTTCTTTCAGGGCTTGAAACACCTCATTCCAAGCTTGTCTTGACTTGAGAATTTGTGCTGAAGTCTGCCATAATTCTAACGGGCTTTCCTTGATAGGTGAGTTGTGTATTCTAACAGCTTTTAGTATTCTGCTTTTATGCTGCATGTCTGGGTTCTTAATTATTATATGTCTGGGTGTAGATTTATGTTGGTTGTGATTGTTTGGGGTTCTATATGCCTCACTTATTGGCATATCAGATTTTCCCCATATTTTGCAAATTTTCTGCTATTACTTCTGTGAGTAGTTTAGTTATGTCATTTGCATTGACTTCTCCATCTTCACTGATGCCTATTAATCTTATATTATTTCTCCTGGCATCATCTTGAAGCTGCTGGATTGTCATTTCATGCTGCTTTGTTATTTTTAAAAGTTCTATCCTTTCATGATCACTAATTGCAATTCTGTCCTCAAGGTCCGAAATTCTATCCTCAGCTTTTGCCAGCTTTCAATAGAATTTTTTGTTTCTTGAATGTCTCTTTGAGTTTGTTTCATGAATTCTGTTGGCTTTCTATATTGTTTATTCAAGGTTGCAATCAGTTTCCCATGCTCCTGTACTTTTTTTAAAATCTATTTCTTCTCTAGCTGCACTGAGCAACTCCTTTACTAAGGTTATTTCTGTTTCTCCATGAGAGATTACTTCTAATTTGATTTCCTCTATAGCCTCATTGAGTTGTGTTTTTTTTTTTTATTTCACTTGCTATCTTTTCAGAGATTTCTGGTGTGTTACTTTTGAAGTCCTCTATCTCAATGTCTCCTGTACTTGCTCCTGGTGGACTAGATGTTTGAGATTGCATTTTGCTTTTCCATTTTGCAATTTTCTCCTTTTGGGTTAATATTTGGTCCTTCGATCCCACTAGTGTCAATTGTTGGTAGTGTATATCTTGGGGTCCTACTATAAGGTTGATGTTTTTCCAGTTGCTGGGTCCCACAATGAAGAGGTGGGCCAGTTACCTAAATTCCCCCTGTAGGGCCTATTGGGTGAGTTCTATGTTTTTCCTAGGCTGACAAGCCTAGGAGTACTGATAGAAATCAACCCCTAGTTCTTGCTGTTATTATGTCTTCAGGTTGTTCAGAGTCACCAAAATATATTGTGTATGATTATTCTCTAAGTAGACGATCAAATTACCAGCTTTAAGTCTGCAAAGCAATGGAACACTAAACACTACAAGCATTAACTTGTATTTTACTTCAATAGCTATCATCTCAGCCTGAGTTTCTCCAGATCAACTGGTCACTCATGGGGTGGTGTGGAAAACCTTGGCTCTTCTTGTTTCCCAGCCTGTGCACCAGGAGGGATTGGAATTTGGTTGTCCTCCTGCAGCCCATGCATGGTAGCCTATGCAGTCACTCATAGGAAGTGACTAGTTTCTTGTTGTCCTTGTGTCTTGCTTTTTCTGTTTTCTCTGAGTATCATTTCTTATTCTTTCCTTCTCATTTTTTTCTTTGTGAATTACTTTCATGGCATAATTTTACATTTAGAGAAATTTCTTTTTGCATTCTATATTTGTGATGCTATGCTTAGAGATCACAACATGGGGTCTTGACTTTTTTTAAGTGTGTGTTAGTAATACAGAATGGCAATGTTCATTTTGGAAAAATCTGTATAAGCATTTAACATATCTTGGTCTTTTTCTTTTTATTGCCTCCTCTTCTCCCCTTTTATCCCCTTCCCCATCTCCAAAAGTCTACTTCCTATTTTTCTGTACTTTCTTATGTATGTATTCATTGATTTATACATTCATTTATTTGGTCTCTCATGTAAGAGAAAACATGATTATATAACCTTCTGAGATGCTGTATTGCATTTAACATCTTCCTGTGACATAATTTCATTCTTCATTGAAGCATATAGTCCACATTTTTAAGTCTCCTCATTATAATTACAGGGTAAGGCACTTCCAAACAACACTTTAAAAGAACGATAAATGTAGTATATTGATTGTATTTGCAGAACCATTCTCTCCCCTTGTCCATGCCAGCCTGCTGGAGGGCAAGAGATGGGCCAAGACTCCCAGGTCCCTCAGCCAAAGACAAGACAAATTAACTGAAAATGAGTCACACCTACACAAGATCAGAAGAACAGCCCAACCAATTTTCAGATTCATGGACTGCATAAATGCTTATTGGTGTATAATTCTAATTTTGTGAGATATACAGCATGAATATGGTAATATATTACAGATAAGCATGGTTACCCTCAATCACTTTCCACTTTGTAAATCATAAACTCCAATACAACACATTTTACCTCTTCCGCATAGTGAAGTACCACCTCTTCTGCATAGTGAAGTACCACTCTGCAGTGGCTTGCTAGCTCACCAACACAAATGTAGAACATTTTATTTGCTAATAATCAGAAGTAAATAATTATGAAGAAAACATTTCATGAGCTGTTCCTACCTCCTCAACCTCAGAGAATTTCTTTCTCTATTGGGATCCTACCCAGTCTCTGGCAATGTGTGAATAAGAAGGTAACAAACACAACACATGCCACCAAGAGCAAAGAAGTCAAATTCACAAAAAAGGACATGCTATAGTATGGCACCTCCATAGAACATCATCCCTGTATAATTGTGAAAGCATTGTTATTAAGAAAAACGTGCTGCGACTGATGCAAGGCCACTGAGAGGGAGCTAGAGGAAAAAGACTACTCTTGCTGTCACACCACTCTGGACAAGGAAGCTGTCACTTTGAATTTTTGGCACATAGCTGAATAAATCTGGAAGTATAGTCTTCTGTAGGTTTTCAATAAACTTGAATGCTATCTTGAGCATTTTTAGCTGAATTTTAAAACAGAGCAATGATGTAATATATTACCATAAACTTCCTCATCGAAAACTATCAGAAATGAAATCAGTTTTCCTCTGTGACCTGCAATCTGGTATGATTTAACTGTCTAATGTTCTCCTAAATCACTGCTGATAGAGGAACTTTCCTGCTTATGCCTCCCCACCTCCACAAACTCTTTGTCAGCTCATCATGTATCATCAGAAAAATTTTTTATTTTAAATATTATAGAACCCCTTAATTTTTTAAAGGAAAATCTTCATGCAATTCTCAACACATTCTCAAATCTTCTGTCCTAATCAACTCAGCCTAAAACAAATGTTCACATTAACAGATTTTTTTAAAGTCCTCAAGGACTACAAGCTTAATGTTTGATATTTCAGAGGAGTTCTTGAAAGGATTTTGCCCTAGATACAACACTACAGTACTGAGAGGTGGGACCAAGGAACGTTTACCTTGAGGTCATTTTCCCCCGCCCCTAGGCAATTTACCTATGGTGTGAAATGAATTCCAATGGCTGCTTGCACATCAGCGATGCCCCCTTTAGGCACCATTCCAGACCAAAGCTATATGTATGCCCCCCACACCACGTGTCCTGCAGAGAAAGCCAGACCCCTGCAGTCATGGAGTTTCTTTCTGAGTCCTTAAAATAAAGGCAACTTTTACTTTATATTTTCTTACTTTTGCCATGCCGAAAATCCTATCAGTTCTAACTTTTCAATTTCCTTCTTAGAGCAATTTTCCAGTGAATTGAAGGCCTTTTTCTTTTCTAATAAATATCTCCAAAAAAAATACACTCCCCTAATTTCATTTGCTTTACATATTCTGGTGGGGAAAGTCAAGGAATGTTTTAAAAAAGAAAGCAAGGTGAAAGTCCTGGTATATTGTATAGTGTAGGATGTTAGTAGGTGTGTGTGGCTGTTATGATGCCTGGTGGTGGTGCCATGGCTATTTTAGCATGTGTCACATAGTCAGCCTACATAAAATTACTGGTTAATTGTCATATCAGATTTCTGAGACAGTTACTGGAATCTTCATCTCACAGGTACATCCAAGTTATGTGACTTGGCTAAAGTCACTTTCAGCTCCACTGCATGTTCTTGCAAGCCAGTACGGCTTGACTCCAACACAAAACTGTTCTATCTCTTGAAATACTAAAGTCCAGCCTAGAGGATTCACCATCCAGGAACACTAAGGAAGAACCATGTCCCTCTCTTGGGTGACAGAAGTCAGCATTACCTCTGCTGTCCCTTCTACATCTAAAGTTCTTTTGTCTATGCTGACAAACTTGACCTAATTCATATCCAATTTACACTTACAATCAAGCCCTCTCCATGATCTTGACTTCAGATCTAAACTCTTGATTTCCTTGCTGTTTGAAGAATCTAAGTTGCATGGATAATGATCACAGTGTCCTTACTTCTTTACACTCGAAGCCAAAGGGGAAGGTAAACAAGATAACATCAATATTGTATAATTTTTCATTACAAAAATCCTAGATCTGCATGAACTTCAAGGGAGCTTTTGAGAAACATCAGCATAATGTCCTGAGGGCACTAGCCCTGAAAATCACCTGATTCTCAAAAAGTACAGAGTTCCACAATACTCCCTCACCTTGCTTGTATTTTTTGAGTTTCCCTGTTATTTTTCCATTGCTCACTCATGCATGTAGGTATGTCCTTGTGGATGCTTTCATATCACAAAAGCAAGGGGACCTTACCTCCTGATGTTTCTGGAACCAAGAAGGAATAGTGTGCAGCTTTAAACAGAGGGCTGAAGTCATTGGCAGGAGTAAGCTCCACAATGATTGTCACAGTGACTGGAAAAATGAACAGTGAGTAAGTGCTTCATTGCTTTTGTTATATTCTACAAACGAAGTACAGAAATGATAGAGGATTTTGAAACAATGGGATTTTTCTGTCCCCAAATGATTCCTGTTCCCAGATTCTGTCTTTGCAAGCAAGCGAGTTCTAGTACTAACTAAAACAGTTTAGTCACAAATACATAATGTACTACACTTATGTCATGGAAATATTCAGATGCACATACGTATTACATAGAAAATGTGTATTTACGTATTTTTACATAAGAAAGTTTATTATAGCTTCACAGGTACAACCTCTTCCATTCCAGTTTGTCAGAGCATCACTCTCAACCCAGCACCTAACAGTCTAGAGTCCGCTTCCTATAGGAAGTACTTTCCCATCCTCATCGTGGACAGGAGAGTTTATATTTGTAATCCCATGGAAAAGTTATTAGAATTGTAACCAGTTAACTCCAATCTATCAGTTCTAGTGCAACTCATGGAGAAAATAAAGACAATAACACATAGAATTACGAGGAGCCAAAGGGTCCTAAGTCTAGCCAGGATAAGGTTCATCAGAACAAAGTCCTCCACGCAGAGTCTAATCCAGATTTTATTAATTCCTGGAGAAGAGAGTGGCTTAAGGATGACTGACTTGAGAAGGGCCAGAAATACATGAATGCTGTGATCTGGGCTAGTTAGGAGGTCTGAAAGCAATATGCAGAGGGGAGGATATGCAGAAAGACTCATCTGCATAACACAATTGAGGTAGCATTAAATATTTAGAGGTTGGTACTTTAGCTATTATATACAAACTTTTCAGCCCTAGGAAGTCATAGCGTCTTATCTTAAGGCTCCATCCCAATCAACAGCCTTGGAGCCAAGGCTCTTCATCTAGCCTGGCTCAATCATATTTTGAGAGTCACTCGGTGGGGAAACAGTGACTGTCTCCTAGCTTCAAAGATTACACATCAGCACCTCAGCCAGCCCTTTTACATTGCTTAGAGCCAATTGAAGGGTAAAGAAAATGGCCCAAACAGCTCTGTACATGTCCCTGCTTGGAGACAGGGGCAGGTTTAGCCAAAGTGGAATTAATTGCTCTTCATTCAAGGGGAGTCATCTAGGTAGTCCACCCCACTTCCAGTGTGTGTCCTAGAGATTACATGGAAAAAGACCAAGAAAACCCATGTTCAGTGCTTAGCTTTAACATGTATTCTGTGACCTCTAACCAGTTTATTTTCTCAGAAGCCCAGTCATGTCATCAAAAAGGAATAACATCAATTTGCATCTCCTCCACCACCATGTGCATGTGAGGTCAAACTGTGATTATGTCCAAAGATTCACAAATTATAAAAAGTAAAAGACAGGTATTACATTTGGTCAACTTTAGCCAGGTTATGTTATATGTTATATGTTATACAGAAGGCAGTCTACATGTGATACCAAAACCTACAGCAGCATATTAAAGAGTTATAAAAAGTTAAGAGCTTAATATTCAAATATATGACAAGCAACTTGAAAATAGGAAACATTTTTAATAAAATTGAAATAATAATTAACATTTACTGTGCAAGACATTGGTTTGACATTGGTGTTAGTGTCCCAGTTTCACATGCAAGAAAGTAAATTCCACAGAATTGTTTTTGGCCAAAGGACACAAAGTACGTAAGTCAAGAAGTGGTTATTGAATCAAGCTGTACCTGAGAATATTTCCCAAAATATCTTCTCTAGAATAGGAGTGTTTCAAATACAAAATGCTAAATTAAATAAAAATTGAAAGGTTTATTTATGGCAAGACTTCTTAGAGTGTCTAATTTGCCATTACATATTTTGAATCTCTGGGTGTGTATTGATTCCCAAGCTTATTTGATCATGGGATTCTCCTTTTGTAAGTTATCTTGTAGAAATCACACACCAAAGAATGCTGTGTGTTTTTGGTCCTGAAAAATCTATGCCACTCGTGTCAAACAAGAAAATCTAACCTGAGATCTATAGAACACTTACTTCAGAGAATCTGTGGCATTTTTATATTCTGACACGTGTTATTATCTGCATTTTTTCAAAGAACAGTGTCTATATATTTCAGCAGAGTCTCAAAGGAGCCCACAGTGCCCCAAAATGTTTAAAGAGTGTTGTTCTACAACAGCAGGTGATTTATGTTAAAGGCTGTATCTCTTTCAATAAATGATGCAAAAGCTGGTACCATTTACAGCTCTACCATATTATGACTTTTACTGTACACATAAAGACCAAAAATTGTGCTAATTAGCTGGCCTATAAAAATATACAAAACCATATACACAGTATTACAAGCTCCTTTTATGAGCAGTTTCTGTGAATGTATTGGCATGTGAGGGCCAGAGAGGATGCCAATTTATTACTGCGAGAAATGTCTTTCCCCTCTCCAGTTAGGGAAAGTCTCAAATTTAGTGACAAGGCAAATTCACTTTTCATTAGTTCAACCCTCAGGTAAGTAGCTGCAAGAAAAGCATCCATCCTTAACAGTCAGATGAACTGTGTAACAGGCTTCATGTGAGAGCAGAAAACACACAGTGAGAATATTGTGACTGGTGGGTTCCTGCACCCTCCACATCGCTCCTCCACAGAACCGAGCCATTTGACTACAAATCACCTTTTTAAACCTAGCACCATTAAAACTCTTCTGTCAGCAAACCAAGAGAGATTTAAAGAGATTTAGGCATGCTGATTAAAGTTCAGCATTAAATTCCTTTGGTTGCAAACCTGTAGCTACATGCCACAGTTCAACCTTTCCACATCTATGAAAGAGAAAGCACTCTAGCCCATTGCTCCCAGAAGCAATCTCAGGGTCCTTCTTAACACACAAGCAGCAGCCACAAACGATACAGAATCCTCACAAGAAATCCAATTTACCACACCTTCTAGGTTCTCCTTACCAAGTCTTCTTCTAACCCTGTATTTGACATCTATTATCCACACCTCCCAGGATATCTCTGATGCCAGCCATCTGCTGGGTGGCTGGCACTTGATAGGCACTGCATATTGTAAGCACTAAGACACTGGACATTAATGACACATAAGATGTCATTAAAATTTTGAGAATCTCTGTTTTCATTTAAAATATCTCTAAAACCAACAAACTCACTATTAAAATTATAACATGCTGCTGAATATTGTATGACCCCATCAGGAACTTAATGTGTATCTTAATGTGTGCAACAATAAATTTTAAAAGGCAGGCATTGGGTGGCTTGACTAAGTGTCTCAGTCCCTAAGTTCTATACTCTGGATCCATGGTACATAATTAAAATACATACAGATGATGGAGAGGGCTTTGCAATTAGTAAATCAATGGCTGTTAAATTACAAATTCCAAGAGCTTTATGATCACACAGTATTGATGCCCCTGATCTCACTATACCAAAGGCCCTTTTTATCATGGGCTGATCCAGAATGGTGAGACAGGATGAGAAGACCCCTTGGGAGGGAGAGGACCATGCTCTGCACCTTGAGACCAGGTGTAAGCCACACAACCAGGCAAGCCATATCTACATCACATAAAATGATTCAAATAAAATTTTAAAAGCACCTAATAACAGGAAAGTATTCATTACCCTTTCTAACTTCAAAGATCCATCTTCAGAGCTATGTTTAAGAACTGTGTATTATTTAAGGTGCCACTAAAAGGTGAAAAGGGCCTCCCAGATTTAATGAAAATTCTAGCATATGCCTACGTAATTCTTCTCTTCACCTGTTGCCCAACTTAACAAAATGTCCCAAATATGATGGATATATATGTTCCAAAGCCTACGGTGAACAAGGTAAAGAATAAGCCCTTACCGATTCTTGAGCAGTTTATCAAGATTACCTGTATGAGAGGGATGCATATCATCAAATACTGAAATCATCATTTCATAGGTGTGCCCCACTGCAGCCACCTCTGGGTCTTCATAATCCAGCTCTTTAGTGACCTTGGAGAGTGACATTACTTCAGCAAAAGGACAAAAACTATTTTTTGAGACATAATCTTTCTGTGTGATTCAGGCTGGCTTTGAACTCACTATGTAGCCCAAGCTGCCCTTGAGTGATCCTCCCCACAGTGATCCTCCTGCCTCAGATCCCAAGTGCCGAGATCACAGGCCTGTGTCATCATACCTGGCAGGACCAAATTTTTTTAAGGTACATCTTTTAATAAATCATTCCAAAGGAAGCAAGTGTGTGGCCATTTTCATTTCCTAGGGATGACATTAGAATTTGCCTGAGACTGGCACATGTTTACACACAAAAACATGCCTTTTGATGGGACAACAGGACAGCAGATTTCCTTCCTGAGTACCTTACTTATGCAAATACTTCCTGGAACAGTAAAAGAAAGATACAGGACATACCCTGTCCTCATTGCATGCTAGGAATTTTGTCCTGAACAAAATTTATTTTAAGATAAAATATTCTGAATGATAAAGTACTATAAAAGTATAATTTATTTCAGATATGATACATTACTATTTCAAAAATATGTACTGAGGACTAGTTATGTGCCAGTTACAAGTGTAAGTACCAGGGAAACAGCAGCAAATAAGATGATCCGTATCAGGGACTTGAAGACCAAGATAATAGCATTAGCATTAACATAAATTTTAGTCAGCATAAACTGGAATGAATCAAGATGACACCAAATATTCAAATGCTTAGGAACAGGTGCATTTTTAAAACTTAGTAAAAACATAGCAAATATCCACTATGCACCAAGCACTATAGTAGATTTTATGAACCATTTAGAAATAAATGCAAATCTTACACTTTAATAGATCAGCAATAAACAGAATGGAGTCTAGTAAGTGTTTTGATATGGGATCTACAACAACCACAACTGTGAGTCCTTAGTGGAAAGAACTAAGCCAGTTAGAGTGCTAAGAAAAATTTTTTAAATAAATAAATAAATAAATAAATCACTTGAGAATGAATTTCTCTCAATATCTACAGCATAATTATTCAGACACAGAAATGCATTAGGAGAGGGTAATTGATGAAGGCACTATTTAAATGCAAAGCAAGCACATGAGAAAGCCCAGAGTTTAGTTAATGTCATGTTTCCAAAATCTTCATCTTCACCAGTCCCCTTTTTTAAAATGACAGTTTGGCCTTGCATTACAAAGAGAACATGAACCCAAGAAGCTGAGTGCCTAAGCTTTCCAAATTCTTAACATATGCAAGAACTCGGCTTGCAGGTTGTGGAGCTAGTCAAGAAAATTTAGGATTAGGATCAGAGAAGAAAAAAAATGTCAGTGGCTTTCCCGACCACACTGAGGCAAAGGCAAGGGTGGGGAGGGTACATGGTGGTCTCTGGGTTAAGGAACAATTATGCCAGCCTCTCAGAGATGGCTCTTTGAAAGAAAAACCTACAGAAATCTGGAGTCAGAAGGAAAAATTTCTTCTAATCATAGGCTGGGTAAGAAAAAAAAAAACTGTTCATACTTCACCAGTGAAAAGTTTAAAATCTCAAGAGGGGTTAGGAGCACTGATTGATCACTTGCAACGACCCCTGTCCCACACACGGTCACAAAGATTTATCTCTAAGGAAATCAGCATGATTTTTAGCCTTGGCTTTCCTTAGCTAAATAGGAAATAAATTATTTTGTGCTTATTATAAAAAGAAAAAAAAATGATTACAGACAGCTGGCTAATGAAGGACAAGACACCTTCCAGCAAGACTCCAGGGAAGGCCAGAAACCTGTGCTGTGTCCTTTCAGCATCTACCAGCACTTCCCCAGCTCTGGCTTCGACACCACTCCATCTCCCTGGGAGAGCCACCAGGAGCTGCTGCTGCTCACCTGGATGACGTGGGCAGCCACTGGCACTTGCTCAAAGATTTGTCCAGAACCAACTGGGCCCGAGCTTGGAGCATAGTGGATTGTATCAGGAGGCTTGTCCAGGTCATGACATAAGAACGTTGCCACTACTGTGCCCTCTGCAATCACCTCTTCGCCTGTATACCTGTTTTATTGTCCAAGAATAAAAATCATTGGAGACTGACATACTTTTAAAGCAGAATGTTCTTCCTATAGACATCCATAAGTATAGATAATGTGATGCCTAATTATGGATGCCCTGCTCATCCTGCAGGAAAGAAAGCAACTCTGGGGTATCATCCGGTAACTGCTTTTCTGTGACTCTGGTGAGGCCATACTCCTTTTCTGGAGTGTTCTTTCTCTGCACTTAGCTGGGCACTTGCATGGGGCCTCAGGGGGAGTCAACTGAGGCTGTCATCTCTATGAAGAGGCCTGGGGCATCAGATCGGTTTAGGGATAAACTGAATCTGGAGCACGTGGACTACATGGTCAAGAGTCCATCCTGCCCAGTTCATAGTCACAGAGGACTTACTGTCGTCACTGTATATCCATCCATCTTCACTGATGCTGCCCCCAAACACTGGCTCTTAAGCCTTCAGCATCTACATCCTGCTTAACTGTCAGGAACTAACAGAGTTCCCAGCCTGTACCAAGCTTCTCTAAACTCCCCAAGCCCATACATTCTCTCTCACAATTAGAACGCAGCACTCAGCATTTGTGTTGTGAGGTGCATATGTGTTGCTTTTGTTTTACTGTATATGTATTCCTGTCAGCATCCTGACAAGATACAACCTCCTTACAGAAAAATCAGCATGACAAGTACTCACGCTGTCTCCTCAAGTGACCTTAGCACTCCCTGAAGAATATGGTACTCGTTTGGTTAAATCAACTATGATGCTTCTGGTGGAATAATAAGGAGGAAATTTTGGAGAAGAAGAGGAAGAAAAGCAGAAAGGATATCAAATGCCAAGCCTAGATGGTACCTTTTCCTTACAAAAAGGCCCTGTTCTAGGCCCAAGTGTCATATCTATTTGAAAGGTAACTGGTTCCCAGTCAAGTTCACATAGATAGTAACTTGCAGAGCTATGTTTTATTTTTCATGAGATAAACAGGAATAATGCTCGGGAAACATGGAAGTAGCTGACCTGTGTGTGAGTAAGAGAGTACATAAGGTACTTTAAAAAAAAAAAAAAAAAAAGGACAATGATGTAACTTTTAAGACTGAACATCAAATAATAGAAGTAGTCACCTGGGGGTAATATGAACCCACCATCCTTCATCCAAATTTCAAAGCCCCAAAGCTCTGAAATTCACATTTCTCTCATCATTTATCTGACCTCACAACCTGACATCACCTGAAAATGCTTTACATCAAAACTTCACCCACATGGTCAGATCTGGGTTTGATTCACTCAGAGTGAACTGTCTCTATAGAGTTGAATATGTAGTTCCATTCATGTCTCACTGGGAAAGTTGCATAATGTATGAGCTAGACAACATTTTGCTCCCTCTGAAATCAGAAGGGAAGAGCTTTATCCTGAAACATACAGTGCCAAGGGTTTCAGATAACAGATAATACATCTGGGACAAATACCATTTATGAAACATTAACTCAGCATCACACACAAATCATCCCATTTATTCTTCACAACTACCCCACTGAGTACTATTGTTAACTCATCTTATAGAGAAAAACTAAAGATCAAAGGGCTTAAGTACATTACCCAAGAGCACACAGTTAATAAGCCAGAATTCTAAGCCAGAGCAATGATTCTAAATCCCAAGCTCTTGTCACTTACTATCAGATCTTGGAAACCTAGGACCACGTCCTGAGGCAGAACAGGAGTCAGTGTGACGATCCACCACGAGTCGAGCCGGCCAATGAATGGTAAGACCCAGTACCTCCTTCCCTCAGCTCTGAATGCCTGCACCCACTCACCCACCCGAGCTTACCTAATCAGATACTGGTCACAGAAAGGTGAGTTGTCATTAATGCCACGAATACGGGCAGTCACTGGAATTGCTGCACACCTCTGCTCATGGTCACAGGCTTTAATGGAGAAGGACTGGACACTTGCAAACCCCGCTCTCTCCACGTCCAGACGAGTGGTGGTAACCACAGTCCCACGCTCTGTAACAAGACATGTCTTGCTCAAATGGCCCAGGCTGTTGCTTCCAAAATTACTTTGCTACATGAATAACTATCAAAAAATAAACTATGAACTATGCTTTAGTCACTAAAATAAGAAGCTGTTTTGAAGCAAAAGCATGGTATTTCATTATTGATCTCCCAAATACACTATTAATCATATTGTGTTAGCTGGTAACAGAAACAAAATTGCTCTTGGCTCAGGGGATTGGAACAGACAGAAGAGGCACTTGCGTTCAGCTGTAAGCACAGGTAGAGTAGGGAGATGGTGATGAACAAGCTCTCACACCCAGCAGAGAGAAGACCTAAAGGCAAACACATGACTGGATCACATGACTCATACTTTCTTCCTCGTGGCCATGGCCTGAAAAAGCCTAGAAAGCGATCTGTGTGATAATTCATGTTAAAAGGATGGTGTGCTTCTTGGCTGGGGCTTTCCCAGAAGCAGAATCTGAGGTGAGGATTTGAGTGCAGTGACCTAGGACAAAGTGAGGCAGAGAAGAGAAACTCCCAAGAAAAGCGCACTGCCAGGCAAATTTCCTCTGTAGATGATTAGAACCTCACATCACTGGGGAACTCTGGGAGCCAGTGTAAAATAGATGCTTAGAGATGTTCCACACCAGGGACAAAGAGCTGTAGTATTTATGCACCAGCTCCAAACACTAGCCAGGAGCTACTTAAGGGTGGAATTTCTCCAACACCTCCAACTTGCTGTGGGAGCAAGAAGGGGGACAGCACTTGTCAGACAACAGATAATACCTTAAGCAGAGTACCCCAATGTTATAGGCAGCTGAGTTAGATAGAAATATTATAGGCAGTCAGGCTGGGCTAGGTCCTCACAGGAGCCAGTGCAGAAGCCCAGATACCTTGCAACTGTGGGGGAGACAGACACCTCTCACTGTGGGCCAGGCCTCCAGACGAAGGATCAAAGGAATGCACCCACATCCTAAGGATTGATATACTAAACAGGTCTCTATCACCCTGAGGAAGCCAGGAGTCACCATTACAACCCCATATAGAAGTTACTGTTTTTTAAGTATATCTCCTTGCTATATGACTTGCTTCCTCATTTGTCCTGATTTAATCAATTTTACCTGAAAAGTTAATCTTATTGGTTAACCATAGCTCTGTCCCACCTCATGCCCACCTTGTGAGTTCTCATGTTTTCCCCACCATAAATCTGCCTCCTTTTGTGGTTTTACTCTATACCCTAGTAAAGGCAGAGTCGTTGGCAACCCACTTCGGACCCCTTCTGTCTCTCTCTCAAACAGAAGCTTTCTTTCTTTCAATAAATATATTCTGCTCTTAACCTCCACTGTTCCTAAAATTTATTCTTTCATTTCAAAGAACATGAACTTGTACCAGATTTCATTCCCCTATATCACTGATACTGACTGGTGGAAGTCTGACTGGCTGCCCTGAGCTGTTACGACCTGAGGAGATGTGAATGGGACAGTGACAGTACCTGTAGCAGTGCATAAACCTGTGTACTGCCCACCATGGCCACTTTTCTTTTCTATTCAGCCTCGGAAGAAGCCTCAGATACCACATACTTGGGGTCTCTCATACTGTCTCTCATACTCTCATACAGTGCTCTCATACTGTCAATAAGTGCTGTCATCCTGTTCTATTCTCACCTATTCCCTGATTATTTGCCCTAATTACATTGTAACTCCCTTTGTAAACACAGCTGTTTTTCACAGCTGACCACCCCAGAGCACTGACCACAGTGTTATTAATTAATCTAAATGCCGCCATACTGTTCTGTATGCGCCGTCACCCTGGTAACCTGTTTGCTGTGTTAACCTTTGTTCCCTTTTGCAAGGGACAATTGTTCCTAGAATCAGGTGACCTTGAGTTACCTATATTCCTCTCAACCTTTGTCCCCCTTTTGTGAGACAATTGTCCCAGGAATTAGCTGACCACAAGTCGCCAAATTCCTTTAGAGAAGGAATTGGCTGACCACCGACTGCGAAAATTCCCATAAAATCTCTGTCCTCAAGCAAGGGGAAAAAAAGCTCTTCTTTATTTTTGTTCCCCCTCCCATCATTGGTTTTGTGGTTTTCTCCTATAAAAGTCTAACAAAATTTTAACCCAGTTACACAGCTTTGCAAACTCCAACTGCACTGTGTCACTGGTGCCAGCTTAAATAAAGCACTTCTTTTTCTTTTTAAAGATGTCTTGCCCCCATTTTTGAACAACATCTTGGGGTCTCATTTTTGGGATACAACACTTGGACCCAGGCTCAGCCACAGCCAACTGGATAAGAAAAAAATGACCAACTCTATAACATGCTGATCAAATACTGGTCACATAAAGGCAAGTTGTCATTAATGCTGTGAATACAGGCAGTCACTGGAATTGCTGATTTTCTCTCATGAAAATGCAGGCAAAAAGCAAAGAGTTGAGCTAGAAGACAGTAAAGTGAAGGGCTAAGACCACCATTTTGAAGCAATCATAGAATAACACTTGTAAGGTCAGAGGTAAACAAAAAGAAAGAGATTTTGCAGAGAGTTTTGGAACAGATCACTGTGAAGTGTCTAGCATGGGCTTCATGCTGGGATCTTGGAAACCAGGAAGCAAACAGTCTTTGGAGGAAACGCACATAAACCTATGCTTAAAACCACATGGGATAAGGCAGCTTGCTGAGAGCATGTTTACCCTACCTTTATCAACTGCAAAGTAAACATTCCAAGGATCAAGTTCAAAGGTTAAATCTCCCAAGTAATCTTCATCACGCGCCTGGCACATTCCAATGGTTTTTCCAATTGGGATTTCTTCATCCAGTGTGATGTCAGCTTTGTCATGAAGAGTTGAGTTCACAGAAGCCACACTCAAGACAACATTTTCAATGTTGAAAAAACTTGTTTTAAAAGAAAAGACTGTTAGTGTTATTCGCCTGCTCTTTCCTATACTTTGTGGTGGTGTAGAAGAGTTTATTTAAGTAATTTCCAAGTAAGGCAGCTAGCTAGTAGAAATAGAGTGGGGAGACCAGTCATAATGATAAAAATTAAGAAAGAGGGCTTTGAGTGAAGAATGAATTTCCTCAGGCAGCATAGAAGGCATCCCAGCCCCTACTGAAGAAGGATAATTATAATGCAAATTAGCAAGTTCTTTCTGAGATCCACTTTCCTGAAACTCTATGTCTCCAAGAACAGAGTTGAAAGCCTGAGTTCCATTTGGTCATTTTAAACCCAGTGAGGCATTTGTGATAGGTGACCACTGCACAGCTGAGCAGTTTCTGTGCTCTGTTTGCCTACAGTTAGCTCTAGATCAGAGAGCCTTGTAGACACTCTATTCAGGGTCCCTCCTGGAAATCCAGGAGCATTCTCCTTATTTCCAATAAAAGCTCTCCTAACTTCTTCCTTTAGCTTACTAAGTCATTCATTGGCATTTTTGCCCGTGGTATTGATATAGGGGAATGAAACTCCCAACCTACTATGTCCCATGTGAGCTCATGTCCTCTAAAATCGAAGAATGAATTTTAGGAACAACAGAGGTTAAGAGCAGAATACATTTCTTGAGAGAAAGAAAGCTTCTGTCTGAGAGAGAGAAGGGGTCCTGAGCAGGTTGCCAAGGACTCTGTCTTTTCCAGGGACTTTTATGGAGTAAAACCATGTGTTCAAGGTGGGGAAAGACTGGGAGCTCACAAGGCAGATGGGCATAAAGTGAGACATAACTATAGTTAGCCAATAAGATCAATAGTTCAGGTAAAACTGATTACATTAGGGACAAATAGGGAAGCGAGTCACATAGAAAGCAGGCATTCCTGAGGAGCAGGGACTCTTCCCTAGGGAAATGGGAACTATTTAGGGTATCAATCTTCAGGACATGGGTGCATTTGTTTGTCTTTTGTCCTGAGGCCTGGCCCATGGCAGGAGGCGTTAGTCTCCTCCACCCTCCCAGCCCACCCTCTGCAGTTGCCAAGTATCTGCACTGGCTCCATGGAGAATCTAGCCCTGTCTCACTGCCTATAATATTTCTAACTAACTCAGCTGCCTGCAACAGTATGAGTAGTTACAGCGTAGTGGAAAAATATCATTAATAATGATATTAGTAGCCAACCAATTTACTGAGCACTTACTTGCAGTCAAAAAACTATGTTCTCTCATTTACCCCTCATAGTGGCCCTAGGAAGAATGTACCCTTTTTTGTCCCCCTCTTACAGTTAAGCAAAGTAAGACTTTAAGAAGTTAAATAACTTGCAGAAGTCAATATCAAGATATCTGGGAGATGATTTGATCCCAAAATTGTTTTGCTCTATAATCTATTCCTTGATCACCGAGTTCCTTTTCTTCTGTAGTAGAAAGCAGCTTCTAGAATTACTGATGGTCAGCAGGGTTTCATAAACCCCCTGGTGACAATATTGGCTAGAATCCCTAGGGAGGTAGTGAGAGACAAGCCAGCAAGCAGATACCTGGGACACACTTCACTAACACTGCCTCATCCTATTGTATTTTCAATGTATTGCATATTTTTAAACTATTCTGCTTTCAGTTTCAAAGGAAGCCTTTCCTTTGGAATTTTACATCTGAAGTGACTGTTTTCACCATATATCCTTGCTTTCTTTCTCACAAAAAAGGAAAATCAACAAAAGCCACTACACATTTGAATTCAGTTTTTAAGGTTAAACTTAAATCATATTTTATGTTTTATGTCCTTACCTGCAGGTCAGAATGGGATTCTTATTGTTGACATTAATGAGGAAAATCTTTAGATTTCCAGTGGCAAACAGTCCTCCAGGATCAACCACTTTAATGATCAGAGAAAAACTAAAAGCCACAAGAAAAATAGCTGAGATTGTAGAGTTACACCAGGCTTTCACAGAGATATAGGCAGCTGGGCTTACTTGCTTACCATAATTGATTCATCTAGTAAAAAAATCAACAAGTCAATTATTTCAGTGGTTAGAAATGGCTAACACTTCATTAAAAAACTAATTGGCCATATGAATTGAAAGAACAGGCCAGGACTTAGGAAAGTATGCTACTTCACTGAAAATGGACAGTGGAAGGAAGTTGTTGAGAATACTTCAAAGCAACTACCCGCAAATAACTGTGGAAAATATTGGGATGGGGGCTGGGGATTTAGCTCAGCAGCATAAGCGCCTGCCTTGCAAGCAGGCAGTTGTGAGTTCAATCCTGGGTACCGATAAAAAGGAAAAAGATATAAAAAAAGAAAAGAAAATATTGGGATGGTTAGGTGATAACAGGCTTTTATTTTAGCAGAGATATGCTTGGGTTTGAGGACCAAAAGTGATGAAATGAGGAAAACAATTGTTCCTTCATTGAAAGATGAGTAGCACACCCCCAAAACAACGTTCTCTGGTAATGAAGTCCCCAAGTTTGCCCAGCACTGTCCAAGATAAAACAGCAGTGCTGTTACACACCCCAGCCCAAGGCAAACTGATAGAGCTGGTTATTCTCTCAGGAAAGAGAAAATAATTCTATTTTAACTAATAAATTAAATATACTAATAATTGAGGCCAAAATGGCTATCTTCCTTCTAATAGCGCTAAAAATTAAAAGTTTAATTTTCTTATTTCATTAATTTTTATAAGTTAATTATTGAGACATATTGACAAAAATCACACTCAATTCACTTTTAGGAATGAAAGTTTTTTTTTAATTTTTTTGGGAAGATTTGAGTGTGATAATAAGAGAAATTAGGGGCGGGCACTAACCCTGTCTTCCCGAGTATAGAAGGGAGACAGCAGGGGTCCAGAACAGTGAAACTCCCTAACTCAGTCTTCAGGATTTGAACAAGAGATTTCATAGCTCCTGTGTCTGCTTTGAAGGGAGAAGATTGGAAGGAGGCAGTGAGGCCGTCAAAAACTTCTTTTACTCTCACTTTTTTTGGTTCAGTGACCCTAGAAGCTCTGGAACCAAGACAGACAGAAATTAAGGAAAGCTGTGCTCTCTACAGAGCTTTGGTAAGAATGCATTGCAGAGCCTTTACCAGATAGCTAGCTCTTTATTATAATCTGCAACCAGGTCTTCAACATTCTAGGGTCAGTTTGTCTGATTCAAAGATACTAAGAAAAAGGAAAGCTTTATTTTCACTTATGAAGGAAAAAGTTCATCACTCACACTCTCATTGGTGACTTTTTCTTCCATTTGTGGACAGATCTTAAGATTTCTAAATGTCTTGAATGTGCACAGTCACTGTTCCGTGAGGTATTGTAGGACAAAAAGAAAATTAAACTATGATGGGCACTAGTCATTACCACCAGAAATGGTAATAAGAGTCGATGAGGCAAAGAATTATTTGACATAAAGGTTAGAGGAGTTGGGGACCAGGAATGTAAATAAAGATCTTGGTGATTTCTATCCTCGAATCATAGGAAGATAGTACAGAGCCAGGCACTCTTCTGATAATTTTACAAGGTTGGAGAGAAAATGAAGCACATGTTTTTCCTCATGCTGTCCTCTGAATCTGTTTCGTGGGAAGGTGATTTCCATTACATGTGGGCATCAAGTCTTTGTGGGGCCTTTGCTACTAAGGGTGCTACCTCAGAATCTACTCCCTTCTTGATTTATAATGCAGAAAGATCTCTTAGGTTCAACGTGATTGGAGTATCTTAAATGTCCTCCTGTGGAGCTCTTTGATGCAACACTTATGATTGCAAAGAATGGTCATAAAAATCACTATAAAAATAAAAACAGTAACCCGAACTAGTTACTGCCCACCTGGCAGATGTGGAGAAAATAAAGTGAAAAACGTAATGATGCTGATTAACCGTGAATGAATCTTGCGTGGCACGCATCCAGAGGGAAGTCCGCTCCCTCTGGACTGCCGGTCACAAATATCACCAGTGAGATAATCATTGTGACTCTTCACTGCAGAAGCCAAGGACAGGGAGGGGGTGCTGGCGTCCAAGTCCAGCTCCCCAACCAGCACTGGCAAGGCTGTTGGTTACTTTCTGATCTCATTTTAAGGCAATGCCAAAAGCACTTGCATTTTGGGGGCACAGGAAGACCAGATAGGGAGAAAAGAGGGAAATGGGAGCCAGAGGATCCAGATTTTTAATGAAAACCCAGTAATAGTTTTTACCTTTTAGTTTCACTCTCAAAATCGAAAACGGTTGATGTGGAAATTGTTCCAGTGCTGTCGATCCTGAAGCCAGAGTCCTCCGGGGAAATGAAGTACTGTTTATAAGACGGGAAGGAGAAAGCAGAATACTGCACTGTGCCTAGCAAGATTCTTTACCTGTCCAAGAACCAGGCCTCCATCTCTCTACCCCCTGGGCTGGTCACCTCTGCTCACCTCCCCTTGAAGAAGTCAAATTGTGTAAAAGGAAAACCATTAAATACTGGGAGGCCATGTGTCCATATAGGTATTTGTATATATGCAGAGAGTATTTTATTAAATTTTCTTAATTCTCCAGTGACTTTCACTCATGCTACCTTTTAGTTATTCTGTCAAGTAGTTCAAATATGTCGTGTTTTAATTCTCACTACTCCACATCATAGGAACTGGTATTATCCCATCTTACAGATAGAAATACTGAAGAACAGGAAATTCAAGAGACTTGCCCAAAGCCAAAGAGCTGAGCTGTTAGTCACTCTGCATATTTCTTTTCTGCTCTCTCATGCGTAATTCTTGTCAAAGAAGATGAGCTTGGATTTCTAATGTAAGTGAGACTCAAGTGATTAGACAAAACCCGAGCAAAAATCCTTGAGAGAAGTAATATCAGGAGTTAATTATACCAAGTGTTATTGACTTAATAAATGTGTGCACCCAGAGATAATTTAACAGAGAAGATTAAACCCAGAAGGGTTACAAAGCAACCTAAAAATCATTTGGAGAAATTAGTGACCTTTAAATATATTGATTTTCTGATGAATTGTCATGTTCTGATTAATTTTAATCCATAACTTCCATTTCTACACATATAAATAAGGTGGAATGGATTTCTGCCATTTCTGTAGAGCAGTGTAGAACACTGGCTTTCAGGA